CATAATTTATCACTAGTTACTATCCCCCCTTAACTATCGAGAAAAAACCTGTTTGTTTTGCATAGAATAAAAAACACAATCAGCAAGGTTAGTAAAGCACTTTCTGATTTTTTTTTCTAAACAAGCTAGCTGCCTGACGATTGTGTACTTGTAAACAACTAGTGACAATTGGTCATTTTTCAATTATCTGTTTAATTAACCAAATCAGACATTCCAATGTGGGTCTTAATGTAAAATGTGATCGACGAACCAAATATTTGACTGTAAGGTGTCTCACGTATATTGATACACTCAGTTATGAAAAGCAAACAAGAAATCCACAGTTGATTTAACTCAAACCTAAACAAAAACATTTATAGATCGAAATGAATATATTTCAGCAATATTAAATCTGTCTAGACTGTAACAAAAGACGTTTTTCAAAAATACTCAGGATTTGTTAGAGTGACTCAAACTACCTTTATCCCGCAACACTCATTCTACGGATGGTTTGTGAAATATGTTAAAGAAAATCTTATACCTGTTTAATATCTAAACGAGATTTTTATAAAAAGTTCAAACACTTTAGGTCAAAACTATCAGCATAAATCTTGCCCTATGAAAAAATTTAGTATGTCTGAGGTGTGTGCTACTTATGTCGTGAAACATAAGTAGTATGTAACATCAATCGGAAATGGAAACCCTGCCAGTCGAAGGCTAAGAAGATCAAGTAGAAGAGAATAGAAACGAAAATAGAAAAGAATCACTAATAGAGAGGATCATACAGAATGTAAAGGACGAATGACTGAAATTTGCAAATGAAGTATTTAATTTATGGTTCTCATATTTTACTAAAACTTTCTGTAATCCCGTATTAAAATACATATTGACAGATAATTCCCATCTAAACATTAAAAATTCGAAACATGAAGTTCATCTAAGGGATCTCTTTTCAACGAATTTATTATCATGCTGTAAATTTTTTATTGTTGTAACAAAAACATTTTAGTTATCTTATTACATTCACTAAATCTATTGTTATTATTCGTATTACGTAATCTAGTATCATAATCCCCTATCACGTCATCTTAGTTACTCGTGTTCACATTTCCTCAAGGAATTAGTACTTTAACAACAACAAAATTTTCATATATATACGATTGTACAGCTTGATAATAAATTCGTTGAAAAGAGATCTCTTAGCTGAACTTAGTGTTTTTAAAATACTTATGTTGTCCCCACTTGTGTGTTCGTTCATTACATATCTAATACAACTGTGACCTCATTATCAAAGAAGCTGGAAATTCTCAGTAGAAACTTAACTACAGATACGATTGTTCAGTTTGAGAAAACGATATCTTCTTTTAAAAAAATAGAAACTTTTCTTCACCGAAACATCTTTATTCTTCTTGAAACAAAATTCTTTGAGGCTCCTAGCAATGGAATATCATTTCTTAAATTACAAATATTAAAATTATACTTAGATTTGTTATTCTGCTAAAACAAAATATATTCAATCTGGCTAAATATATTCTAAACAAATTGAAGTTGCTTTTTTTCCAGAACAGTGAATGAAATCAATATTTTTGATTGTTTTGTTGTTTTTTTTTGTAAGTAGCCACCGTTTGATCAGGGAATGATTCTAATCTGGTTTTTGGTACTATATTCATAAAGAATCATGATTTTTCCCCATGAAGTTACCATTTGAATTCTAATTAAACGTTTTTTTTTTGAATTAAATATAATAATGGTTTTTCTTTAAAAATACAAAACAGAACTGAATAAAAGACTATTGTGAAGATACCAACTTCAAATGAAATAATTATTAACACTTTGAAATCCTTTTTTTTATTTTTATAAAAAGAAAACACACTTGACAAAGACATTTTTCTATCACAAATACTACTTATCATCAACCTTGTTATTTTAACCAACAACAAAAAACTAGTTATCTACTTAACTTTTAATTGTTTTGTTTAAGTTATATATTTATTATAACTAAGTAAAATGATAAATGATAATTGAAGAGTATTTCTTTTTATATGTATATGAAAGTTTATAAGTACTGGATATTTTTTTGGTGGTGGTGTTGGAGGGGGAGAAAGGTTTCAAGTATGAACACAAATTTTCCACTTATACATGTCAATTTAATCAGTGTTAATTATTTGTTTAATTTTTTCTTTAAATGCAATAGTTTATTAAACTACCATTAAATAACCTTTTACTGATATATTTTCTTTCTAAATAATTGGAAAAAATTTGAAATCGACTAATATTATTACAACGATAATCCGAACTCAGTAGTTAAGCAGATAATGCGATGACGTTTCAAATGAATGGTATTGAGTTTGAGTCCCAGAGTGAATATCAACTCTGTGATGGAGGTACATTTAGCTGATGAGTCGCAAATAGGAAGAATCGCGCGTCCTGAATTCCACTGCTCGCCACTGTCCTCTTTGCTTATAATGCTTGTGAATTAAGGCGATATCGAGGCAATAAGCTCAGTATACACATATGCAGGCCCCCAAACGCCCTGATACGGTCAAGAGTGGGGAGAGTTAGCTCTCCCTCTCAAAATGCTCTCACATGGCCACACACATACAACCACTGCCAGCGAAGTCCTACTCACTGCTTCTGTGGCAAGGATGTTGCTTACAAAAGTGAGAAAACGTAAAGCGAATGTCCGGTGCTTTAACCGGGTTGGTGGATATGGAGAGTCCACCTAGGAGACTTCGAAAACCCTCATTCCAAACCAATGGTGCACATGGGTTCCAATATCCTGAAGGAACGAATGGCGTATGGTCACCGGTTACCATGGAATTGCACCTCTTGACGTTGCTTCACTGCCTTGTGCATCAGACCTTTAGGTCAAAGGCTTCGGGTGTAGCCCCTTAAGAAAACCACCTGCTTCGGTTCGGGCACCCGGTCAGTATCCCAGCCCTCACACAATCTGAATTATTTATGTGGCACATATCTATTTGGTGCCTCCTTGTACTAATGATTATATGTTTAAGTAATAAATAATGCACATATGCCAATAGGAGATTGATCAATTGTAGTCCTAAACATCAATGGGAAAATTCAAGTAAACAATACCAAATGATAATCAGAAAACTTAAAGGAAATGTTCTCATATTTTCCTTTACATGACTAGAATGTTATACATAAGATTGTTTTTTATAATTTATTGACAAATATTCATTTGAATTCCTTTTCTGTTTTTCATTTTTTGTTCCTAAAAATAAAAACAATTTTGCTCTTTCTATCAGTTCAGTATGGTAAAAGTTAAATAGTTTGTTGCTATGCATTATTTATTTATTTATTTAATGAAATAATGGTTGGTTAGTGATAAAATCTAAAAAGGAAATTCCATAAAATTGTTCAGATGTATTTCGGAATACTATTTTCTGGAAGAATTTTAGTCTAAATAGATTATCATCTAGACTAATTTTAACTGGATTACTTATGTCTATAATTATCCAACTAGATGACATGTTTTACCTTTTTCTAAAATTGATATTAGTTCTTTCATATATATGGAACTGCATTTTGCTTTTTATCGTTAATAAAGACAAAATATTGATCGAGGCCTTTTTTCCCATTACATTAAATTAACCAAATGAAGTAAATTATGCTTCAATGTTGAATAACTTAACTTGAAATATATTCCGAGTCAGAAACAAGACAGCATAGCATGATTCACTATCCAACGTCATTTATTATCCATCAAGTTATAATTTATTTCAATGACATCTTGAATCCACAATGTTTATTGTTAAAAAGTACTTCCTGGGAGACACAATAACAATTGCGGTACAAATAGATATCATTTATTCTGGGAAGACTATAATCAAAGAAGCGTGAAATGAAAGATGCTACTTATATATCGGTTATTTAATTATAAGTGGCAAATATCTGTTTTTCAAATTCACTCTGAGTCAAATTTTCACTTTAGATTTAGGAGGAACAAGACAATTAATAGCCTACTAAGAGTTTTACTGATAGTTTGTAATATTTTAGTTTCTGACAATGATTATTAAGTTTTGTGAATGTTGGAATTGATGCATACGAAATGTTTACAACTCTAAAGATTTCACTTGGTGTTGAAGGTTTAGACATAGTGTACAAGTCAAAAGCACTATTTATAATCAAATTTTAGCATTAAAACACTATTACCAGTGATCTCTGGAAGTTTTGAACTTGTCACTAGTTTTCATATACAATTCATTTAAACAGAAAGACAATCATTGAATAGATTTAATTTATTATCTTTTTAATATCATAAAATTTAAGCACCAGTCGGGACAATCATTCATACTATAGTTAACAATGTCAAAAGTATCTAATAAATGTCATCAATACACCATCACTTACTAATCCAAATCAAATTTAATAACAGACAAACAAAATTGTCACTAGTAAACTAGTTAATATATCTGATTATGTAATTTAGTTAGAAACATATACAACAAAATATTAGAGATTTGAAAATAACGTAGAACAGACTCAAAACTAACTCAATACAATAAATATATGTTTTAACTTTGATTGATAAAAATTGACTACAGATGAAGAAAGTAAATGGAATAAAGGTGATCATTATTTATTCAATGAATTCCATACTACTCAATAATGAAGAAGTCAGTAGTATAACTGATTGGCACCATTATTGGTTAACAGTATCATACATTAATTCAATACATTATAGTTCTAAATGATTTTCTGGTTGACATTAGTCTATGCTAAGAAAAATAGTAAAAAGTATTAATTACTTTTCACATAGCCAATCCCTTACTTTAAAAATATTCATTCTGATGATAACTTGTTTGTCATAGTAGTTATACTGTTCTAAGTGAAACTCTAAATTATTAGTTCCCTTTTTTGTTAAATCTTGTTTTATCGAACAAACGAACTACATTTCAGCAAGAGAAAATTAAATAACTTTAAGTTAAAATGTGTTTCCAGTTATTAATGCACTCGATGTTTTTTTTCATTTTTATGTACAATCTTATTTCCTGTAGTTAAAAACTCTTCGGAGATTACGAGTTGCCGATACATTATGGTCAGGATCGATGGCTGACAATTTTCGACCAACTCAAGCTATTAATAACCGTTCAGTTCGGACGAATATCAATTTTCGTAGTTCGGTAGGAATGTAATCGTTTGATAATGTTTTATTATCTGCATAATTAATTCAAATAATAGCAACGAATTGTAATGCTTCTCTTCGACTAAAATCTCTTGAAGCTTAAATGAGGGCCCAAAATCATAGTTTTTCAGTTTAATATGGCACTATAAATAGTTGTGAACCCACTACATAAAATAATATTCCTCATCCAATGTGGAATATGTTCAGCCATACTATGTAAGATTCTTACTTTGGATCCATTAAAGCTGTAGTCATGTTTTCTAGAATTGTCAAACCTTTCAGAAAACATTCTCAAATGCATTCAAGTCTTTTAGTTTCGTTAATAAACTTCTGAAACTAATCCATATCATTCGTATCGTTTTCTTATCAAACCCAATCATTAAATTAGGATTATTACAACACTATAATAACCCTGCACCTGACCAATACAAAATAAGTAGAATAATTAATGCGAACATCAATAGTGTTATCTCTGAATATATCTGAATTGCAATAAGTGATTATTAACTTTTAACTCTATTCATCTAGTGAAATAAATGTAATCATAAATGCTTCTAATTACCGCTAGTTATAAGTAATATTACACAGGGTTGGAAGTTTTCAGGCGATGATATAGATAGTACAATACGTTTTGATCATTAAACAACAATAGTTTAGCATTTTTTGATAAATAATATACGTAACCATAAATCCAATGAATTAAAGTTTAGAATTTATATGGACCAAATTTTTTTAATGCATTTACAATTTGTAGTAATTCATAGATAATTAATTGTTTTAACGTGATTTCTTGGAATATACACCAGATAGTTCTTAGTTGAAGATGAAAACCGAATACTTATTATTTCTTAAGTCAAAATTACTATAAAAATGATAAGACAAAGGTCATTAAGTAATAGTTCCAAGTTTTATCAAAAGACTATGAAGTAGATTGACACATGGTTTCTTGCTTCTACTAAGCAATTAAAAGTGAATCCAGAAAAAAATGTTTTAAGTAGGAAATATCTTATTTGTGCGCATACAACACATTTTAGATTCATCTTAAGAGTATCATTAATCATTAAATTCTTTCCTAACTCAACTATATGCAAGAGCAATGCAGATATCTGCTATAATCTGATGTCTATCTTGAATTCTGTCAACTGTTTCTTTGAAATTTATCGTACTCCTCTAACATTACAATAACACATTTACCTTTTAAATTGATAAATCAATTACATGTTAATGACTTAGAAAGGAATTTATTCATTTACTTTATACAAAATCTTAGTAAATCTCTTACAATGAAGTACTTACTTCTTAAAAAACATTTTGATTCCTTATCTATTCTTTTTTAAAAGTGTTGCCAACCCAACAAATTTTTCCTCATATCTCATACATTTCAAGTTTGTGTTTCATTTATTTCTAATCTGTTTTGACTAGATCATATCATTTTGTTTCTTAGAATTTCAAATACCTGCTTTAATTTAGTTTAATCTTGTCTTGACAACAAGAAAATAATAATGAATCCATTTCAATATGTTTACTTCATTGTCTACATTTCTCTAAATATATTCAATTTGTTATTGATTAATTCTATTTAGTCTATAAATTGCCAAATCACCTAGATGTTTTAAATAACTAGTAATTCCAAGGAAAATTTTTTTGAAAGTAGATTAGCTTAAATTCACTTAGTATTGTTTACTTAAATCTTTCCATTGATGTTTAGGACTACAATTGATCAGCCTTTTATTGGCATATGTGCATACTGTTTAATGCCTCGATATTGCTTTAATTCACAAGCATCCTAAGCAAAGATGGATAGTGGTTAACAGTGGAATCCAGGATTTGGGCTTCGTCCTATTCGAGACTCGTCAGCACTCCACGTTTAAGCGCCATCACACTTTCTGATTACTATTACTATGAGTAATGGAGTTTTCCGGGCTTCTGAGGTGATATATGTGAGCAAACTAGAATTCCTATTTCTTTATACAAACAGAGTATATCTAAGCAAAGATGGATAGTGGCTGGCAGTGGAATCCAGCTAGATGTACCTGCTGACGAGTCTCAAATAGGACGAAACGCGCGTCTTGGATTCCGCCGCTAGCCAATATCGAGGCAATATGCTCATAATTTAAAGGCATTCTTCAGCATACTGTGATTTGGAAAACAAAACCGTTGTCTATAATATAATGAGAGCTACAACTACTACCCAATATTTCTAAGTCAGCTCTACATACTACTTCAGTTTCTCTAAGATGCAAAGCGCAACGCTTTTTGTCTAGAATGATGAAACAATGTTTCCATAACAAAATGATTTCTTAAATATACACTCGTTATAAAATTCATCTGTAATGGTGAATTTGCAGACACTATTGAGAGAAGCACACTGAAACTCCATATTTACAGGACCTATCTTTTAGCTGTTCCCCGTTCATTAATATTATGTAATGAATAATCTATTCAATAATCATTTTGTTAACTTGTATTTATCTTATTTTAATTATTAACGTTAATTTCTCCATTTACTTATTAACGGTAGAATGAAGCGTGTGATGTGCGTAAACAAGTTTCATATATTGGTAAGCTATAGTTATCCTGGAATTTAGAATATCATATATACAATTTATATTCTTTTACTAACAAAAATAAAGTTTAGTCAACATGGGGTTGTGGAGATTGTCGAATTTCATTGAAAACAGAAACCGATCTGTTAGACAGCCACTGAAAACCTGGAAATACTGAACGGATGTTTCATTCTCCTTAGCACTGCAAATCTACAAACTCGCAACCGAGAATTGAACCCAGGACTTTAAGTCTCACACGCGAACGCTTAAGCTCTTGATTACTGAGCCGGGATTCAATAATGTGTAAGTTTAACTTTAATCAACCCACAACATCGAGTAATAGCTCTTAATACTGTAACAAGAGTACAGTTCATGAGTTTAGTCAACATGAAGCAAGTAATAATTCTTCATTCAATAAAACCATTTTAAGCTGATGAGCTGTTCTAACTATCATAATGTTCAGTTGGAAGAATACAAGGAGCAAACAGAACAAGATATAGCTACAGGTCATGGATTCATTGACTGTTAACCTGAGCCATGTTGAGAAGGACAAATTTCCTAGTTTGCATCTCCACAATAATCGTAGTATATGGTTCAGAACCTTATATGAAGTGGCCAAACAATTTTACTCCTCAATCTCGAATATTCATTCTGAACCATATTTTTCACGTTTAGCTTTCCACTGCATTGCATATGAATACCGACTTGATGCTTTTGAATTTATTTATCTCCATTTTTGTTGTTTTATCGGAAAGTATGATGACTTGGGAAAATTCGTATTCATCCTTGGTCAAACATTGCCCCATCATGGGTTGACTGTACAATAGATGAGGATAACTTCTGTTAGCGGGATATAGCTTTGATTAAAGCATGTTCTGTGAAGGATTGTGTTGGAGAACATTGGTTAGCCATTTCTAAGACAATCGACGCAGCAGATACTTGGAGAAAGATCCAGAATCTTCTCGTGTAAAATTATTAATATACTAACGTCTTCGCTAATGTAATTCCTACTCCCATTCAGTATTGTTTATGTGGAAGATAATTGCGTTTCTGTTCAACCGTATTCAGATTTGGGGACATGTCGAGTGAAGCGGTGTCCAAAGAATTCTAAGCAATTATAACAACTCCAGTTTATAGAAAATCCAATATCATAACAGAACATTATAATTGCAGATATATATGATGGAGAATATTTCAGCTCAAATAGATGCTTTTGATGCCCTTAAGTTTTCTGAATTGGATGGTTTAAATGCCGACAACATTATCAGTGAAAGGAGGAGGATAAGCAGCCTTGTGTGACATCGGTCCTCACTTGGAACGCATCTGTTAGCTGTCCTCCATACACCACTTGGGATTGTAGCCCATCGTATGAATTTGGGATAATGTTGACGATCTTCTCAGGTACTCCATAGTGTCGAAGTTTCCTTAATGTTTTCCTATCCACACTATCAAATGCCTTCTCCTAGGCAATGAAGTTGATGTATAGTGACGAGTTCCACTCAACTGATTGTTCAAAAATGATCCGTAGCGTCGCGGTTTGGTCTGTGCACGACCGACCCCTACGGAATCCAACCTATTGATCTCGAAGTTGGGAGTCTACTGAGTCTTTCATCCGGTTGAGCAACACTGTTGAAAACTTTTCCTGGTACTGACAGTAGTGTGATGCCTGTGTGGTTCTCACATCTTATCAGATTTCCTTTCTTTGGTATCTTGATGAGGTGTTCTCTCCAACTCATCTGCACTCGTACTTCCTCCCAAATCTTCCTGAATAGAACGTGGAGCATGTTTGCAGTTACTTCTATGTATGACTACAGTGATTTATGTGATATATTGTCGGGTCCTGTTGTTTTCCCACTCTTTATTTGTCTAATGACCATCTTGATTTCGTCGATGGGATGACATTTATAGGAAGGTATGTGTGTTACTTCGATGTCCGGTGGATTCAATGGATATGGTCTACTCTAAGGTTCCTCGATGCATTCTACCCAGCTGTTCCTCTGTCCTCGAATCTTAGTGACTGTTTTGCCTTATTTGTCCTTGACTGGTCGTTCTGGCTTGCTATATTTTTCTGCTAGTTTCTTTGTCATACCATATAATTGTTTCATATTTTCTTCTCTTGCAACTTATTCCGCTGTTATCGCTAGGTTTTTCACACATTTCCGCTTGTCGGCTCTAATGCTCTTTTTCACTTGTTTGTTTGCTTCTGTGTATTCAGCTTGTGCCTTGACTTTATCTGTTCTCGTTCGACTGTTGTTAATTGCGGTCTTCTTGATCCTGCCGAGTATTTCAACAGATACATTCTGCATGCTGTTTCTTGAGGCCCAGAACCTCCTGAAACGTTGAAGTTTGTGCTTCTTTGATAGTTTTCCAGTTGCTCGTCATAGCAGCTTGCCCTTCTTTGAGTAGATCTTGTAAGGCTTGGAACCTGTTGCTGGGATCTATCATGAATTTTTCAGTATCTCAAGGCAGGCTGTATTAAACCTTTGTAGTAATGTTTATTCAGTTGTCTAGTGCTTCTTTAGCTTTAGTTTCATCTTGACAACCGATAGGTAGTGATCCATCTCAGCTCTTCTTCTAGTTCTCATGTTTTCCATTGATCTGAATTTTTCAGTGATGCAGATATGGTAGATCTGGTTCTCTGTAATATGATCCGATGAGACCTATGTAGCTTTGTGTATGCGTTTGTGGGGGAATAACCACTTTGTTGAATGCATGTAGAGTTGCAAATCTGTAGCCATTCTCGTTCCTTTCTCACAGTCCATCCATGTCGTTCCGTGATATCTTCATATCTGGTGTTGTCTATCCCGACTTTGGCGTTCAGATTTCCCTTCAGGATTGTCGGGTCATTTCCTGGGCATCTCGCTATGGTCGATTGCAGCTTTTCATAGAACTGATCTTTATCACCGGCATTGCTATCATTGGCGGGTACATAACACTGGATAACATTCATTGTTTCCCTCCTTCTTTGCTTTGAAAGATGCTTCGAGGATCCTGAAATGATAAGATTCCCATTCTATAGATGTTTTTCATCATTCTTTAGACAGCATCGCTGCAGCGTCCTGTGTGTAAGAAGCATTTTCTTCTTCACGACCAGAGTACAACAGCATATCTACCAAATCTAACCTTTTCTTTCCAACTTGGGTTTCACTGTTTCCTAGAACCGTCTAGTTGTATCTCATTTCCGTAGCTATTTGATTAGTCCTCCCGGTCTCCCACATTGTTCGGAAGTTAGTTGGTCGTTAGAAGCACCGGCCTCGTGATTTCCGAAGAATCTCGGCTTTCACCATGAGTGTTCACAACTCTTCTAAATGAAGATTTTTCTATTCCCAGGGCAGAGTTTGGATGACTTTTCTGGTTAGCGTTTTTTTAGCATGGGATGGGTTACCGACCCCATGATCAACTCTCCTCCTTAATACAGGCTTCGGACCGGCAGTAATCCTGGGAGAGCTATAGGCGGAGTTCAGAAAACTTAACATGTATATATATGCATAAAAATAAATAATTTTACCTCGCCATTCGGATAACTGATAAACGTTGCTAGTCCTAACAACAATGAAAAGTTAGAAGAATGTAAGTACAAGTTATTTATATAAATTCACTTTCAATAAAATGTCTTCTCACCAGTCGAAAGCTTTATTATGATGATTCACAATGAATAAGAATTTTCAAATCAACAAACTTCTGTTTTTCATAAAAGAAAATTTTTCATAACTTAGAATATCACTGGAAAATTGCATAGCTGATTCATATGATCATTTTCATCGGTAAATTTCTTGTCTATCACTAGTTAAACAACAAAATACAGATCTCGAATCTACCCAGTACTAAGTTAATTACTAATAATAACAATTATTTCCAGTTACTTAATGACAAAATATTACATAAACCATAGGTTGTGCATTTATTTCTATTTAGCCTGTGTTTATTTCAGCTAATATTGCACAAGTTTGAAGAAATGGAATTCTGTAAAACGATATTTGAACAAAATCAAACTGGATCGCTCCTTTCTCCTGTTTTGTTTTGCCTTCCATGAGAAATAATCAGGGAAAACCCATCAACTATGAAAGACGATACTTTTGTTTGTTTGTTTTCTTTAATAGACTTTAAACTAGAACTCAAATATATTTCTATTTGTATTATAATTGCTTAATAACTCTATTAGATTTTCCTTTTTCTATACAGAAGAACATTTTATCACCATTAATATTGTGCATATTTATAACTTATTCATTAAGAGTATTGGACATAGCAATATATACACTATTAAAAGTGGTAATGCATCCTTGTTTTCTTCCTATGTTTACTATTTCCATTGACAATAAATATGTTTCTGGATTAGATCTTCTAATAGAGATATATATGGAATTACACGTCAGGTGTAGATGTAGAACCTCATTGATAATCGTAACCCACGATTGAGCCAAAATCGGTCTCAGTGCCACAGTCTTATTTATATTTTATAGCCCTGACTACATTCAGCTTAGATTTATTGCATACTTTTTATTTTTAGGAATCATTTGTAAAATAATAATTAACTCTGTAGAAACGTTATTTTGTATACACGCTTAACTTAATCCTTTGATGTTTTGTTTGTCAGTCTGTCTGCCTATCGGTTGATTTTCTTATTGCTTTCTTATGTCTGATTTACACTTCCAGATATATAGGTAGACCAAAACGCACTGTTCCATAAACCTTAGCATTTAACTCTTGATCCTACGTTGTCTGAAGAATGGTAGATGAGCAATTTGAGTCATAAAACATCCCAAAATGATAATAAACTGTTTTTGAAGTTACTTCAACGGCACTATAGCAAATAAATTGGCTGGCGAGTCAGAGTTCAGTTAGCACAGAGATCTAATGTTTTAATTTCCAATTAACTGAATTTTCGCCAAAAGACCTGTGGAATTGTCATACTTTTTGCATTCATTACTTATGTTTGTATTTCTAGACAGTCTAGGACCTTATCATATTTTAGATCGTCCACTTTAACTGAAGTACTGTTACTGTTTTCCTGCATTATCGCTGACAAATTATCTATCCATACTGTTTTCAACACCAATCTTATGATGTTTATGAACTACAGTCAGGTAAACATGAGACAGTGCTAGATTAGTATTTATAAACAGGTAAAGAATCTCTCTCAAAATATTCATCTTATTTTTTAACATTTTTGTATTCCACATGTCTCTTGGAAATCAATAAAAGTATGTAGGGACGAAATGTATTTGAAAAATCGTTTGATGTATGGAATACGCACATTTTCTTATCTAATAGTTATAAAACAAATGTGTTTTGGCATGAAAAACCAAGTTTTATTCTACACAACTAGAATACATGAATACAAGATACTTTCAAGTAAAAATAGCAACATCTAACTACGGTGGTCAGTAAACTAATTAGATTATTTTTATTATCACTTACCAACAAGCCACATTAAAATGTTTCTCTGGAATAAACAATTTAAAAAATAAATAAATCAAGCATAAACTGTCACATTTTCAGAACCTATTGTCTCAACAAGGTTAGTTTATTTTGCTGGTGAAATTATTCTAACTGAAAGAGCTCCTCTCCCTCAAATCTTTCTCCCTGCAGTTTCCAGCATTCAAACTTGGCAGAATAACCACTGAAAACCAGTGTGACCTGCAATCATGGGGTCCATAAATTGTACCATCCCTCAGGTCCCTGAATAGAATCCAAAATTTCATGTGTGGGTCTCACCCAAGAAACCTCTATTAAATCTTAACGATCAAAATATCTTTAACTGATTAATAAAACTGTAAAATCCGGCGACAATGGTCAGAAATATTTATAAACTAAAAATTGCTGAAAACTTCATTCGACGGCTTGTGTTAATCAATAAATTATTGTGGCATTTAATTAGAGATAGATTATAAATCCACTGCAGATAATGCGGCTAAAATTTTATCGAAGTTTGATCTCAGCTAACTCAACGAATTGTTGTACCACCACTACTAGCTGCAGTGATTACAACATGGATTAAAAAGGTCACTGTTGTGTAGTTGTGTCGAAATTACTATTAGAACTATAAACAAGAATTCACATAATATTGAACGAATGTAAGATAGATTAAAACACCATTTACGACTCCAAATGAATAAGTTCAAGGAATCATAAACATGACTATTATTAAAAATGGTTACATTGCCAATAGGATCTACGTAAAATATCCATAAATCACATTGAATATACCCAGAGATCTCAAATTATTATCTATATTCACAAATAAACACATTACTTTCGCCGATGTTCCAATCAGATAGAGCCAGACATGTGTGATATGCTTTTGCATCTCAAATGAAATATCTTACTAACCCGGTATCAATTGGCTGTTAACGAGTTTGACTCAGTTTTAACTAAGGCTAGTTTATTTCACTTTACCAGATATTTGAAGGACGTTCATTAAACATCAAATGAGAACTAGAAACTGATAAGCTTTATAAAACTTTTTATAACTTGAAAACACACGATCAATTTCACAAACAATATGTACTAAGTACAAATATATAACATCACCGGTCCTATAACCACTTCCATATCACTCTGCTTTAGACTAAGAAAAAAAGCAGATGATAGTGTGGTGTATGCTACTTATGCCGACAGATATAAGTAGTATGTAGTCGCAATCGGAAGTGAAATGCCTGGTAGCAGAAGGTAAAATTAAAGAGAACAGAAAGGAAATCGAGGAGCAATAAAAATAACAACAGAATCAGGGGAATAATCGAACACGTAAAGGACAACGCAAAGATGTGTCAAGGATGAATTTGATGTATGGTTTTCATATTTTACTAAGCCACTGTATAAGTTCACTTTAGAAAACAAACTGGTCTTCCCCACTTGTTTTTTTCACTACAGTAGTACATGTTGGCAGCTTTGAAATCGAACAGCTCAGACGATCATTAGGAAACCAATCAGTCATATACAAAATAATACCCCCATATGCCCTGGTATGGCCGAGAGTGAGGAGAGTTAGCTCTCCCTCTCAAATGCTCTCACATGGCCACACACATACAACCACTGCCAGCGAAGTCCTACTCACTGGCTTCTCGAGGCGGGGGTAATTTTTACGAAATTGAGAGGACAAAAAGCGAATGTCCGGTGCTTTAACCGGGTTGGTGGACACGGTAAGTTCACCTAGGGGAGTTGGAAAACCCTCATTCCAAACCAATGGTGCACATGGGTTCCAATATCCTGAAGGAACGAATAGCGTATGGTCACCGGTTACCATGAAATTGCACCTCTTGACGTCGCTCCACTGCCTTGTGGATCAGACCTTCAGGTCGAAGGCTTCGGGTGTAGCCCCCTAAGAAAACCACCTGCTCCGGCTCGGGTACCTGGTCAGTATCCCAGCCCCTCACACAAACTGAATTATTTATGCGGCACATATCTATTTGGTGCCTCCTTGTACCAAGGTTTATGTGCTTAACTAAATAAAATAAATACCTGGAACAAATATGTATCGGTCCAGGGACGGAATAGTTAAGATCTAAGCGTGATACTTATCCTACGTAGATTCCACAGTACTACCACTAATCTGTCGAGAAGATATAATGTGGGGAGACAGAAAAACTGATCACATGGCAAATATTTAATCTATAAGTGGAGTCAATATCATTAGAGGTCAATGCTAAGAACAAGATAGTGAGGAGTTCAGCTTTAGTAAAGAGAAAAAGTATAAACAAAGACATCATACGCCAGTACAGCTTTGTTGGTACAGATTTTTAGTTTTATATACTATATCCATATCTTGAAATTGTGAAAAACAAGCTACACTTTTGCATTCTTAAATGCTAACGGCCAAAGTCATGACCTAAATCCCTTATTTATCAAGAAGCAAAAACCACTTTTATACATTTTATACATTTGATAAACGAAATAGATATCTAAACCCAATGATATTTGGACGAAAATGCAGCATTCCTAATCAGTGGATTCAATAAGCACGGTTTGAAGTGAATGACTAGAACTAACTGCACAAGTTAAAGTCATCAGAGGAGTCCAGAGTAAAACACTAACAAGCAACAAAATAAAATGAAGATACTATGTTAAATATTGGTAAGAAATATCCAGTTAATTTTCTCCATCTCGAAGTAAAAACCCGATAATCAAAATGCAGTTTGCGGAAAAGATAAAAGATACCCTAATGAAAAAAGACCATTCGAAAGTACAATATTGTAACCATTTATCCCCAAAACCTTATCAACAACTGATATTTGCTAAGACTTTGATTAGTATGAAAATGACCAACTACCTAGAATTCGGTTTTTATTGTCAAAAAGTTGCTTCAAGAAAAATTTATAATAAATTGACTGCTTTATATCCAAGACGCTGACATTGCGAAAAATTCAAGGTAAAACGCAGCACTCTATGGGTTGCAGTAATTTATAAAAGTTATACACAGAATAATAAATCATACATGTTCACAGTTGTTGAACACTACTGTTGTTTGGAAGATTTACCATGCCGAAGATTTTTAAAAACAGTTATTCGACTGCGAACATCACGGTCACCAACACTTTCAGTGTTGCTTGAACTTTGACGAGTTGCTTCTACACGACTTTCTAATAAATCTGGATGAATCAGTATGTCGTCCATATCCATCCGTAAACTTTGAGCCTATAAAATAGAACAAGAACTTACAGTACCATAATTCGCAGATTTGAATTCTAATCTACATGCCGAATAAACTCAATGGCAAAATTTAAATCCTAGAGTCAGTACATAAGTAAATAATGGATCCTCTGAAGCTTGAAAAGCCAGGATTATCAACATTTTTACTGACATGCTTCAGAGAATAGGACATCTATCATCCTTAAAATACTCTTACACATTAGAAATAATACCCACTTATATAAAGCGAACTAGTAAACGAGCCAAACGGTTAATTTGACACACTATAACAGCATAAAACTTTAGTAAGCTACTCTAACTTCCACTGCAAAAAGATACATATTTTATGCTACAGCACTAAGACCTAGAGAGATGTTCAGCCACATGGACCTCTATGGCAGTTAATAAAAACATGTTAAATGAACATAATTGTATACTCATTTTGGAACACGATATTTAACTGAGAATGTAACAGTCAAATGCATTAGTTCAATTCTACCGATTAAATTATGCCCAGTTGTGTCATTAATTCGAATGCCTTATATGTGAATCAGTCAGTCACCCACAACGTAGGACCAGGCACATATGTGCATCGGTCCAAGTTCCCATACCTCATTAGCACAACAAGATGAACACCGGATTCATAGTACTTAAGTCAATTGTGGTAATATATAAAAGGAAGATTGCATATAAGGGTATAGTACAGGAAGAAACAATTAGTTGGTAGAAAGAAAGATATAAAGTAATTTTAATCTCATCGTTTAAGGGGAGACAGAGAGTGTATACACCTACTCCATTGTGGTCGATTCTGAGCCTATCACCAAGAGTCTCCAACCATTGGTTACGATTATATATATATATATATATATATATATATATATATATATATATATATATATATATATATATATATATGGACCCTAATATTCCCTTTATTGGTTGTGTCTATCTATATAACCGTTGGTCTTATTCTATCATTATGTTGATCTATAAATACTTGACATGCTAATTGACGCCAGAGAACTTGTGTTCATATCACTATAATCCAGATTAGATCAGTCTAGTTTGGTCCTGGATTTATTATAATACATAATTGCTGGTTATTCGGTTACCATTGTTAGTTCTATTCTAATACAATTACTGGTGACCCTAAATATCAGTGTTAATGTAAATGCACTACAATTACAGAGGCCTATATCTGGTGTCCATGCAACACTAATTTTATTCCAGTCCGGTTGTGCCTATTCAATCTAATCACACCTTCATTTTTTGCTACTACTGTACATGATAGTGAATCCAATTACTGAAATATATATTCAAAAAAATTTGGATTTCAGTTCTTACTTGATTCATCTGCCCTCGGTCATCGATCAACATAACGAATATAAAAACTCTTAAAATTTTCACGAGGCAACTAGCGGGTTTGTGAATTAAAACAGCTTTAGTCAACCCTATAGAAGTCTATACCTTAAATAGATTATTGTTTGAAATCCCTTGAAAAATGAAAATAGATACTTTAAGATCATGATACATCCGATTATATTTGAATCATATCATATACCGCTGAATACATAATGGCCTGGAAGCAGTATATTGACTCAATGGTCTATTTTCATACATTACACACAAAACATAGGAGTATATCAAATCATAGATCTGCCAAAGTTCCCTCAATACAGACTTGTTGGTTAATAAGTACAAGCAAGAAAACGTACGTCTGATTTCGCCATTTGGCCACGCAAGGCCTCTTTGATAGACAATGACGCTTCCAAAATCTCCTTTTGATGTAACTCGGATTCATATCGTCGCTCATTAACCATCTTTATTTCATTAGCTATATGAGCCAATACAGACTCGACTCGAACACCCCATGAATCCAGCTTTTGATGCAGCTCATCTATCTGCTAATTGGTGAAATATATCATCATTTTACCTGCTCAATACGTATATCACGCCCAATGGCAGAGTTGACCTCTAACAGTGCTTTCTGTTGGTCAAGTTTTCCTGTTATGGCTTCGAGGTAAAAAAGTTCGATAACAAGGTCTTCAAGTTCTCTTGAAGATGCAATATCGAGCTTCTTAAACAGAAGACCATAAGGTATGTGCTTCTGGTTATGCGCTTCATCAATTATCGAGAGCTGCTTTAACTTCCGAACTTGAGTTGGTCGTAAATCAGGATATGCAGACCGGTTGGTGGAAAGTAACTCGAACGTCCCGTAGCAAAATAGGTTCATTAAGTTGTAATACTGAGAATATTCCCCATTCTCAATCGATTTAATTTTTGGGTGGTCAAGAAATTCACCAAAGACGAACAAACCTCGAGAAAATAAAGGCATATGTCCAACCAGAAATCAAACCTGGACATTCAGTGATAGACTGAATAAGCTCAGGTAGTTTAGATAAATCTGAATTGGATAATTGACTCAGGAACGACTCTATCTTCTCCGAAGACATAGGTTGCTGCGAGTGCGACCCTGAGGGTCAAAATGAGCACGTGCACTGACCTACAAACGAAAAACATTCAGTCTCAGTCTTCAATTATAGGGTAGTAGGTTGGTGGACCTGTGTCAATCCTGACAGTTTGCTTTCCATTGAAGGTCTAGCTTCTCCTTGAAAATGTTCACTGATGGGGCTGATACCACTTGTACGAGTATAGAGTTCCATTCATTGACCGCTCTATGAGAAAAACGGAACCCCACTTCACGTTTATTAGATCGCGGTTTGTGAACCTTCTTGCTGTGACCTCGGACGTTATTAGTGCTGGAGAGAGCAAAAATATAAGACATATTGGTATCTCAATCATAATTAAAGATACGAAATGCCAATATAAGGTCACATGCCGTCCTACGATACGACATGGGGAAAATCATTAGGCATTTTAAGCGCTCAACGTAAAAGAGTTTAGAAAGACCCTTCTTCAACTCTGTTCCCACACGCTGAACGCGCTGAAGTGGGTTAGTATCCATAATCAGACATGGATGCGGCACTCTAATATGGTCTTACATAGGTGGAATATAAGATTCGAAACATCTCTTCAAAGCGTTTGAATGCTCGGCGAAGTGACCATAACGCATGAAACCCTTTGGCAACAGCCGCGTGGCAATGCGTAATTGCTTCAAGTCGTGACTTATTATTGTTCCTAAGTTTTATGTTCTTGCACGCATGGAAAAGATGTGTTGTCAATAGTATACTAATAACTTGTTGTATCCCGATATGAATAATGAATGGTAATTTTGGGATCCATTCATGGACCAATATTATGATTATATTTTTATCGTATAATTGTTATGTAACTAAACTGTTCATATTCATGCCCCTCTTATTATGAGATTATGTTGACCTATGAACTATTATTGTACGATTTACCATTCATGAATTATCCCCTATCTGTTAATCGCTACCTCCCTCATTCACAGCCACATCTGGCTAATTCTTGTGCAAATGTTGTTTCATATTTTATTGGCACGTTGTGGTCGGGCTGATTGGTATATAAACTCAGTATACTTGAAATATGATGAGTCTGAGACTTGTGTTCTGGACTCAACTGCCTGGGCTAGACAAGGAAGCAGGGCCAATCGGGACTCTAGGTCGTTCTTACGTGTTTTACGCGTCTTTGGTTCGATCGATAATACGCGTCGCTCTAATCTTCAGTCACAGTTACAACATAACTATTACTGCGTCCGATATGCATGAGCACAATCTTCCAGAACTAACTTCCAAGCCCCGACATCGAGCTCATCTGACTAATTCGTTTAGGTTAGCTTAGAGATCGGAATGATCAGCCTCACTTCTTATTATTCTCCAGATTCTGACATCATCCTTAAAACAATAACGTCGACGACTTAAGCAATGGTGGTAGTTCATTTCCGTAGAGAAGGAAAAGTAGGGAACCTGAGATAGTGCCTTGGGGTGCGCCACTCTTGACTGGCTTCCATTCGAATAGTGTCCCATTAACCCTCACTCTCGTTATGAGGTCACATAAAAAGTTCCTTATCCATTCCTGTACAGTACCTCTTATTCCGAAGCTCGAGAGCTTCTGAGTAAGACCCAAGTGTGAAAAGTTGTCAGACGCTTCGCTAAAGTCTATGAATATTACATCGACAGACTGGGGTTGCTGTCCAATCCTCTCTCGTAATAAGTAAGTTGGTTAAACATGAATGCTTGTTCCGAAACCCGAGTTTCTCGGGAGCTTAAAGATTGTACGAAACTATGTGACATAATTACTTAACCCAAATCATCTTTTCAAATGACCTGACAACTATGTTGGTTAAACCAACAGGCTGGTAGTTCGATACGATCTGCCTCTAACCATCTTTAAATGTAGGAATGACTAGCATCTTTCCTATCTCTAGGGAGTTGAATGAATGGAATGGAAATGTTGAGGAGCATCATCAGCGATCCTGAAATAATGTCTGCAAATGATGACAGAAATTGTGGATGTAACGCATCAGGTCCCGGTATCTTACAAGGTTTGAGGTTAGGGATCAATGGAAGGACAGTCTCCTCAGTCACATGTACAGGCCCTATGGCTGGCATCTCGGTGTGATTAGGGCAAGTATTGTTAACAATACACGTTGAGTAGACTTCGCCAAAATAGTCTGATAAAGTCTCAGCTTTTTCCAGATTTGAATTTTCGTCTAACAGTAATGGGGGAATACCGTCACTACCATTACTACCCAATCAATTCGAGATCTGTGGTGAAGTAGCGGAAATAGGACATGACATCTCAGTCAATATTCAGTAGAGAGGTCTGACGGACATTTCGCCAGTTTGACCCCGTCGAAACCATTCAACTTTATTTACTTCATACCTGAAAGACCTCGCCTCAAGAATCCCAAATTCCAAATCTCATTTCATATACGTCTAGTATCATGTCCTAAGTATCTCATACATCAAAACCATGAGATGACCTGCAAACAGCTCGTAAGACGCAAAGACTCAATAGAGTTAGCCTTACATGACTCTTTCCAATGTTCAGATGTGAAGATTACTATGACTCCTGAAATACCTGTGCTTCGGAACGAATATCCTCCAAACCTGCCCTCATATGTAGATGTGTATCATCAAAACCACTGGACGTGTCCGATTTAAGATGTTGGAGTTGTCGTAAGACAGAGTCCTTTTAAATAAGCACAAAATTCATCAACAACCCTCCGTTCCTGGGACTAATTGCTAGTTTTTTATTATTGTCATTGGGAAATACTTTATCAGAATATTTTGTTAACGCTTTAGCTTTCTCAACATCACTTCCCAGTGACGGTGGATTTTTCCTGGGTAGGAGCAGCAGGATCCCGTCATTTTTCTGAGTCCTCTTCTTGACACTGGGCTTCGTTCGAGGATCTCGAAATAGCTTTTTCTCACTGGATAATCTACAAATAAATTCCTACTCTTAAATTAACCGTACGTGAGCCACTCATGGATCGTGTTGATAAATATATATCAGTGTACCTTACGTCTAAAAATGTCCTTGATCTCCCTTATGACCTGTCATATCCGAGCGTAGATTAAATCACGAGTGACTTCTGAGATATATTAATTGACCAATATTATCTTTACATTCTTATGGTATAACTATTCAATAATTAGATTATGTATATTTATATTCCTCTTACTATAACTTTTATTTGGCCTATAATTTATTATTGTACGATTTGCTGTTCTTAAGCTATGTTCAGTTTATTGACTACTTTTTGGCTTTATTGCGTACAATGTTATTTCCTATTTTATGGTGCATTGCGGTCTGTTTGGTTGATATATAAACCCAGTATGTCTGAAATAAATGATTCGATTCGCATATTGGAAGCTGGTATTTGGTGTTCTGGACTCAAGTGGACGGGCTAGGCGGACATAGGACCAATAAGGACGCCAGACTGCCCATACCGGTCGAACGCCATTGGTTTGGCACAGTGAGAAGATTGTATGAGTCGTATTTTGATTGGTGGATAAATTGAGTGATGAAAGCCGGACATAAAGTCATAACATGACCCATTGAAGATGGCTGTTAGGTTTACTTGGTCTTACATACAAATAAACGAGGACGTGGTGGAGATAATTACGTCTTCGGGGATAAACCCTGCTTCTACGCCAGATGAGTCTGTGTAAACCAACTATTCCATTTCTACAGTGCGCTCCGTATCACCGGAATTTTCGCTCACCACATATTTGGGTGGGGCTAAACTTGACTATACACTTTCACAGACTCCAAAGCTGGATAGCGAGAAAGCTAACAGTGGGTAATATCTGGTAGTTAGCATTATAACTGAACCTAAACATGCATTTCATGTAATTTCCAAACCTTTATGGCTGGAGTTGTTAAATACTTGTCTCTTCCCACTAGTGAGTTCAAGACAGGGAGGTTAAGTTGAGTAAGATTCTAATCAGCTAATCAAAACATTTCAGTTTCATCAAATTTAAAGTGGATCAGGTGAATAAGTTGTCAAAATCCTCAAAATGTTTACTTATTTATTCGCACCTCTCTATCGTACTGGGATCGTGACTTAGATACTCCAAGAATAGTTTAATCTGTCAGCCAAAGAGTAGAAATCAAAAATAGACACTCGCTATGGTTGCCACCAAATTCAAGTGATGAAGTAAAACAGGCTCATAAGAGATGGTAATAGAGTGTATGAGATCAAAACAGGAACTAGAAAACAAAACACACAGGCGGACCAACTTATGCTTATCTCATGCAAACCAAAAATGTGGTGAACATACAAAAACAAAGTCGTCAAAATTGCTAAATTTACACTTAATTGTAAGAGAAAGTGTTATTATCGCATGAGACATATATTTTGGAAGTTTTGCTCCGAAATACTAAAAACTGGTTTATTTTGTATCTGCTATATTTATTGTTGAAACGATATATTTGGGTTGATTACTCGTAATTTATAAATAAACCGTGACACCTAAAATGGAATTTGGTTTTGTTGCAATCAGTGGTCGCAAACTACGAATGAATCAACTGATTGTGCTCTAATATCGGACGAGAGCAAAGTATGGACTGACAAATTATGAATTAAGCCAATGAACCAACAGTAACTAAACATTTATCTGCATGAACTTTATGATAAGGCAAGCATTATTCAAAATGTTGAGACGCATGATACCTACTCTATAGTTAAGATCAAAGATGTTAGTACATCTATCTATTTCATTCACCAACTCTCTGCCAAAGGAATGCCTCTTCCTAAAACTGTGCTGCCGATCTAAAAAGAAGCTTGCTAGTAAATGGTGGTCTCTAAAGCTACCACAGAACAGACGCTCTATGATTTCACAGGGAAATAAAAAAAGGCAAGAGCCGACAGTTCAGAGAACAGGTCTGTTGACGCTCTGCTTGAAGGATTTAATCCATAGTCTCATCACTACCTGTTACGTCCAAGTTTTGCTCGTTTCAATTATTGAAGTACGGACTTTCGATCAAACTCCAGTTTAGATACCAAATTTATTCGCAATTCACAAATAGTCGACCAAATGTCGTTCCAACAACAATAATGATAACAATCACA